AGGGGAGGATTAGTTAATTGGAATTGGAATAATTTGTGGAATAAATTTTTGTTATGTTACTCAATTGGAACTAGAACAAGAATAAAATTATATTATGTTAGTCAAATAGAACTAAATAAAAGGTAGAACTAGAATTATGGTAAAAATCTATCCAACTTTTATCAAATTTATATAGAAAAGAAAGAGATCTTGTCTTCTTAATTGTCATAAGTTTTAAACTAGAACTAGATGGTAAAAAAACTAAAACTTTCTTATTTGCTTTTTTATTTTTCATATTTCATTGTCCACCATCTTCATACCAGACCATAAGACTAGATCACATCTCTTCTTACACTTCTACTTAATGTTATTTTTTATTTTTATTAAATATTAAAATTGTATAATTAATTTAAATTCAAAAAAAATTACAAAATACATGTTTATTAAAAATTAATTAAAATTAAGAGATGACAGAATGACGTCAAGCAAATCAAAAAAGAAAGAGAAAAAGAGAAGACTTTGTTTTTTAATTTGTATAACATAAATAATTCCAAAAAAATAAAAACGTTACAAATAATAATAATAATAATATCTTATAATCTATCCAATAGTTTTTCAAGATTAATTAACAGTAAAGTAAATAATTATGATTAATAATAGTAAGTTTTAAAATATATAAATAGTAGTCTTATCATCAAAATGCATGACTTATATGCTTATTGATTATTAAAAATTATCCTTAATTATACTAAAAATTGTCCCACTAAAATATTCTATTTAAAAAAATTACTCTCAATTATCTCACTGAAATATCCCACTTTAAAAAGTTATTCCATTTTAAAATTGTTCTAGTTCTATAAAAAATGCTCTAGTTGAGTAATACCCCATAGGAGGAAAATTAAGAGTTCATCAATATTTTAAGGGATATTTGGTTATTTTGACCAAATTATACTAGAGAAAGAAATACTGCTATGAATAGACAATTATTATAAGTTATCACGAGTGAAAGTGACATACTTTGACAAAATTTTCTTTATGTATCTTTATATACATATTCTATATTATAATTCTTTCTCTTTTTATTTTCAAGATGAGTAAGAGATTTTATTCAACTACTAAAATATTTAACAATGATTTCTAGTAGTTGCTGAAATTCATGCTTTTTGTAGTTTTGCTATAGGTTTTTGAAAGCATTTTCCCTCCAGAAACCATATTAAAGATAGAGCGTTTATATGGCAATCATATTTTAATTTCAATTTATACATAAATTGCCTTCAAAGTGAGTTTTTGTTGCAATTAGCCACATTCCCATCAATTTTTTAATGAAAAATCTAAAATTACTCTTAAAATGTCACATGCAAGGTCATGACTCATTTTTTTTGGTGTTTTGGTCTTGTTAGGATACAGCTCACATATCTCGAACTTGAAATTTTTAAGCTTATTTTCATTTTAAAATTAGTATTTGATTTGGAGGTAGTTGATTGTAACAAAAACTTATTTAAAGATAGCTTGTGTGTAAATTGAAATTAAAAGATTGTTTCTACATAATTGTTATATTTTGAAAGTGGATTCTAGGGGGCAAAAAAGAGTTTCTGTATAGATATCTTATTTTAAGGTGATTTGTTCGCATATTGGAACTTACCATTGAGCAAAAGACAAGCACAACAAAATCGGTATAAACCTTCTTATCAACCAAAGCACACGCGCGCAAAAGAACGGCGTGATGCTCGACTAGGGGGAAACCGAGGATTAAGTGGGCTAGACCCTCATAACATATGTCTGATCTAATAATTACAAGCCTGTTATGAGCAGTTATGGGCTACAAACAGGCCCAATTGGTTCTTTCAACTTTTATTTCCTATGTCGATGTCAATTTATAAGGGAATACTGTATGCTCCATAGGCTAATGCACCAATTCTGAGATAAGTAATATATATGCGTGTATAAATCTTTATAGGGTAAATTTCACAATGCCCACCCCACTAAAAATTAAATAAATTAATAAAAAGGACCTTTTTTCATATAACCCCCCTTAAACTATCGGTGCCAGATTTAGAATTTCTAGAAAAACTTATAAATTAAATTATTTTATACTTAAAAATCTTCATAATTTCATAGTCAATATAAATACTATGAATCTTTTTGACCAATGCTCAAGGTAATAAGTGCTGTAAAATGCGAAAAAAACTTCATACGAATAGTATAGTTTAACAACTTACCATTGTTTTAAACGAGTAATAGGTATGGTATAAATTATAAAATTATGGATCTTACCAAATAGTTAACTACTTACCATGGTTTGAGGCTTGAAATAGTAAGTGGTCAAGTGTGAAACGGTAAGTTTTGACTACATGTTTAAGGTATGAAATGATACAAATACATGAATGTTAATAAGTGATATAAAATCTATTTCTGCCATTGAAGTTAATATTCTATCCCACTTATTACTTAAAAAACTTCATAGTTACTAGTTATCCTTAGAGAAAGTGGTGTCACGTGACACCACTTTCTCCTATGTAGATCCGCCAATGTAAATTATGTTTATCTCACATACCCCCTAAACTCTGTGTCTCATGAAACTCCTCTAAACATTAAAATTTTCTCACTGAACCACCTCACATGTAATTCGTAAATAAATATAATTCCTTTGACAAAAAAGAACCTAAAGTTTAGGGAAGGAGATGCGTTAACTATAAATTACATATGACAACATTTGGCATTTTTTTCCTCTCAAGAATATTAGAGTTATTTACAAATTATAAGTAGTTAAGTTTGATTATTATTTTCTTT